CCGCCACCTGTGAATTATCCTCCTGCTTTTCCATCGTCCATACACGCGGCCGGCGACAGTTCAGTCCCCGCAGATAGTACTGAAGTTCAAAAAAGGCTGAAGGTGCTTCACTACATTTTCTCTTGCCACTATTACGCGTATTGACAAGCGGTTTTGTGTGTCTTAAATTCAATGTCTAATGGATCCACCAGTTGTTGTTGTTGCTGTCGTCGTTATCTGGGGTATCAGGGTCAAGGACCAGTTACCCAGATTAATGATGTCTGATTATCCATCAGTTAATAAGGTTCGACTTCAGAATGATACACAGTTATTACGCAGTTTGGGAAATATTATTTTCTCCGTTAAAATTGTCCCTAAACGGAAAAGTAGCTTCGATTAATTGTCGTGCAAACCATTTTGTCATATGCCTTGCTTTCAGTAGAATAGTTCTGTAGTTTAAGCATAGACGTCAGAACTTGCGGTAACACAGAATATTCAGTTGTGTTGATTAAAACCTTAATAATTCTACCTATAACCATCATAATGGCAGACGGCTTTGCATTTGGAGAGAAATTCTTCTAGTACCCGGCACCTTGTAGCAAATATATGGAAAGTTGCGAATATGCGGCCATTCCAAACCAGAGATGCTCCGTTTATACAGATGGATCATTGTGATTATCAAAACGATCAAGCAGCTGGGAAGCTCAAGAAACGAGTCAGCAGATTCCCTTGCATTCATTATTTACTAATTGGACTCTTAGACGAAGGTTCTTCGTTATAAGGAAAATAATGTTGATAAATAAAAATAGGCAGTTTCCGCTCTTCACGTAACGTAAATTCGTAACGTTAAAAATGAGTGCATTCCCTTAGTTCCCAGTTTCTTAAGATTATTGCTAACTTTGCTTAAGAGAGTTATTATTGTATCTGACAGCTCTTTTCGAGAACATTTTTGATACACATCTGATTTAATTTGACGGTGAATCGTTTCCTAACACAGTGGGCAAGTTAAAAGTCCAAGCTACCTTTCAAAAATTCCTTGGCTGAGATGCTGGTTGACTGCTAGCAGTTTTGGTTTACGTGTGAATGTGACATTTGTTAATCATTCACTTCGTCTTATTTTATCCTTTTTATGAATAATTTCTTGAATCAAATGCTCGTAAACACAATTGTTTAATCGTCTGACGCGAAAAATTTCTTTTATTTTGAAGCTATTTTTTGCAAGCTATAATATTGATTATGCTAGATAAAGTAGATTTATATATAAAAAGAATCTTTACATCAACAGCGATCGCTTCTTTTTTCCCATGTATTTGCTGTCCGTTCTTAGAAATTTTTGTAATTGAAGCTTCATCCATTGAAACTTACCGGTAACAATGGTTAAATAGCATAAAGTCAGGCAGTTGAAGTTAGCAACACGTTTTGTGGCCGCGTCACATATTTCATTCTTCGGGGTAATGCAGTCGAATATCATTCAGTGTATAAGAAGCATGAAATTTCATGGTATTGTGGTTTTTTGCCTGCATTATATTTATAACAGACATTTCTGTTTGATGTCATTGTCATGGTTACAAGCACTATACATGTGATGCTATATTACTTAGCTCTGTGAAAGAAATTCTTCGAATTATTGTTAAAAATAGTATTTGATGGTCTTATCTGTTTGGAACGTTTGAAATATTGAAGCATAGATTTGTTTGTTTTTGTTTGTCTGATGGAAACGTGATAATTTCATATTAAAGATGATCAATTACAAGTCGTCGATGGATGCAGACTCATCGGAGCGGTCTCGTGACGTTAACACTGAGCGATACTTTGACGATGACAAAGATATGGATGAAAGAAGGCGTTCCAGCCCTCAACATACGGGCGGCAAGCGACAGCGCTCAAAGTAAGCCATAGAAATTACCTTTTTTATGTTACTGGTAGTGATGACGAATTTGCTCACAGACTGCTGGTACCTACAGTCTGTCGAATGTGGCAATGATGAATACTCTGCAGTCACGTGGTAAGAATAAGCGGATCATAACACAACCAGCATGCGGATGTTGCTGCTTGACTTGGTTTTTGTAACCATCGAATTCCTTTGACTTTTGCCGAACCTAGACGTACAAAGTCCAAATGAGTTTATAGCATAAAATCCTTCTTTTAAAGAACAATGTGTTTCTGAGACTACTGATGCTGGCACCAGATCCAACACCTGATCTCACCGCATTTTCCCCTGTCTGTTTTCTTTTTCTTAAGTTCCAAAGATATCCAGAGAAATCAAAAGTAATGTCTACCGCTCTGTCTTAGAGGAGAATTCTTGACGTCACATGCCTGGCCAGAATCTTAACAGAATTTCCTCTGGCTTCACGATTGCCAGATTGTAGACTAATAACAGTAATTGCTTCACAAGCAAGATCGAAATTTGCTCTCCTGTAAAGCTTAACCACAATCACTCCATGTTAGATTAATTGGCTATATGAAGGTCAGTCTAACATGCTATGTTTATTATAAGCATTTAAGGTAATCGAGGTAGATTTTGAGCGTCGTAAGTTTCTGTTGACGTACGGTTATCAATTTGTTTCTTTCATTTCCTATGACCTTAACTTTCAGCATGTTCGTACATAAATCATAAGACCAGTCATTACCGGCTTTTTCACCTGCCTGCTTTTATTGCATGACAATGAATGTCTGGGGTAAACGTACACTTATACTTTTGTCAATCAATGACCGCTTTTCTTTTTGGGTCGTGGAGACAGCAGCGACAGTCACTGTCTCTAAAGTTTCTCATCTTATGCAAGCGTGTCAGCTTCGGCTGAACATAACCCGAGTGTGTGGCAGTCTGTCGAGGCATTTGCGTCAGATCATTTTTGGTCTATGTGGGGTCTTCGGCCGGTTAGTCGAGCAAGTAGTAGCTGCTGTAAAAGGCATTCTCAAAACTTGCCAATTCATGTAGTCAGTGACAATGGGTCCTGTTTTCTCTGGAGATTTTTTTACAGTTTTTCTAGCTTGATTTATTGAAGAAGTGCGTTTTTAGGGAAAGAGATCGCGACAAACGTTCCAGAAAGCGATCTCGTTCCAGGTCTTGCTCCCGATCGAAATCGCGAACTCGTAGACACGGTCGATCTCGATCCGATGAACGTCACAAAGATAAGGACATGAGAGACAAAGAACGAGACCGGAAGAAACTTGCATTGCCGCCAATAAAATCGGGACACGCGTCAGGTAAAACCATTTAAAGCCCATTTGTTCTGATTTAATGGATTTTACACATCTGTTGAAAGTTCACAATAAAATTGGTTGTTATCAGAAATTAAGTATCGATTCAGTAACGATGACTTCGTGGGAATTATTTCTCAGTTCAATACTTACACATGCAAAATATTCAAAATCATCCATTCAACCGCATATTTATTCATTTTAGTCGTAGGGTAGATCCATTTTCATTGGTCTCGGTCTTCCGCTAATCAGCGATTAGCGGGATCAGGCCATGTATTGCTTGTCATAATGTTTTCAGTTTTCCACTCAGTGGTATTTCCTGACTAGAAAGTAAATTCAGAAAGTATTCAAGGGTCGAAAAACTGACTGTTTCCGCCAGCACCACCTTGTAAGGAAAGTACTGATTGATATGCCACTTTTCAACTTAAAGCACAAAACTAAACAAAAATGTGGTATAAAAAATGCATAATTAAAGCAATGAATAACCCAATATTTAAGTTTTTGATTACTTTTTGTGCGAGTTGGCTACTCTAGATGGAGTATTTTGTTCCTGCATATATAGTCATACTGTAAAACGACAGAAAGCAGATTTTTGCGTAATTCGGTTTTAGAATCATCTGTTTGTTGATGGAAACATCGATATTAATCTATTACCCGATGTGCCAGTATATTGCGTTATATATAATACAACTATTTTATTGTGCTACTTTTCAGCATAGCTGCTTACGATGGATTGAAGTTTTCTGACAGGAGCAAATTTATAATTAAATATTATACTGTACTGACTAAATCTGTTGAAGACAATTCTGATGAAAAACTATGCGCGCGATTAGTATATTTTGAACCAATATAAAAACATTCCCTCCTAAGTCCTATTCCACTATCTCAACGTAGTAGAAGGGTGACAACGGATTCTCAAAACGATGTGTATTTGAGCCTCTAGGCTCTGGCAGATTCAATCATGCTGTTAAAACTTGAGAAATGCAAGCGGTTATGTGGAAGAAACGGCCTCACCAACTCACCTGACAAGCAAGATGGTCATATCTTCGA